AGCAATCTCACTTCTGGGTATTTGTCCAAAAGAATTGAAATCAGGATCTTAAATATCAGCACTCCCATGTTCATTGCAGCACCATTCACAATAGCCAAGATGTGGAAACAACCTAAATGTCCATTAACAGACAAATTGATAACGAAAACTTGGTAGATACATACAATGGAATATTATCCATCTCTTAAAAAGAAGGAATCCTTCAATATGCAACAATATGAATGAATCTCGAGGCCATTATGCTGAGAGAAATAAGCCAGTCCCAGCAAAACAAATACTGCCTGATTCTTCTTATACAAGGTGTCCAAAATAGTCAAATTCACAGCATCAAGGAGTGGCATGCTGGTTGCCAGAGGCTGGCAGAGAAGGGGAGTTAGGAAATTGCTAACCAATGGGCATAAAGTTTCAGTCGGGCAAGATGAATAAAGCCTAGAGATCCGCTGCACAACATTGTGCCTATATTTGGCAATATATATTGTACGCTAAAAAATTTATTAAGAAGAGAGATGTTAAAAAAAAAAAAAAAAAAGAAGGGAGATGTTGGGATCCCTGGGTGGCGCAGCGGTTTAGCGCCTGCCTTTGGCCCAGGGCGCAATCCTGGAGACCCGAGATCGAGTCCCACGTCGGGGTCCCTGCATGGAGCCTGCTTCTCCCTCTGCCTGTGTCTCTGCCTCTCTCTCTCTCTCTCTGTGACTATCATGAATAAATAAATAAAATATTTAAAAAAAAAAAAAGAAGGGAGATGTTAAGTATTCTTTCCACAGTAAAATAGTTAATTTAAAAAAAAATTAAAGAAAAAACTGGCAAAGGGGAAAAAAACTTCACAACTCACTTCCCTTGTGCCAGCAAAGGGATAAATGGGTGCTTTGCTCCTCCCTAAATGGCTGATGCTTAGAGACACAATGTTCTCCCTTTCTCGTCCCTAAGTATCACCCCATCACCACCATCTTCTCTCCTATGATGCTTCTTGAACAAAGACAATGGCAAAGTGGGTCTCATCCAGAGTCAGTCCCAGTGATGCTAATAGAAAATTCAGGTTTGGGAGCAGTTGGAGAGAGAAGAGATAAACATTTAGAATGATTTTAAAACATCCCAGTAGCCTGACCCAAGGATTGCTTTCACATGTCTGTCTCCAGTTTATCATCCCAGCTCTAAAAGGGGGCTAATGATACTGTTAGGATTTAAAGCTATTAAGTAAATTAAGGCCAAGTGCTGGATTGCTGAGCTTTATATGGGACTGCTGAATTTTAGATCAATACCGGGAAGGAAAAAAAAATGGAAAAAGAAAGATTCTAAAGAGACCACCCAAAACAGTGAAGCAGACCTATGGCAGTTGGCCTAAAAAATTCCTGAGGATTCTAGAACTTCTAGATACCAAAAGCAGGGAATAGTAAAAAGGCTGAAAGAAGCCAGAAGCCTTTGAATCACTCTCAAAAGTCAGTATTCAGAAGTATCTCCTGAGGAGCTCTCAAAAAATGCAGGTTCCTGGGCCTGCACCCCGTGGTTCTGATGCAAGAGGTCTGGTGTGAGGCTTGGGAATCACATTTGAATAAGCATCTAGGTTTTCTCTGTGCAAATGGCCCAGGTCCACACTTGGACAAACACTGACAGTCTTTCCCACAAAGTCATATTCAGTTGTTCCGTTTGTGGATAATGAACACTTTTCTTTGGCAAGAGATTGAAACGGAAGAAACAGAACTTTAATCCTTAAGCATGGTACACGTTCAGGATAATTAATAGTGATTGGTTACTTGCTAGAAAATGAAGTATTCATGTACACACACACCACGGATTGGGTAAAAAAATAAATTATGTTTAGATGATTTAGTATTTCTCAGATGGAATAAATTCGACTGCTGAGTGAAAGGCAACAGGCAAACTATCTATCACCTGAAGTTAGAAGCTAAGATGATATCTCAACCACCCATCTTGAAAGGGATGCTTGGACCAAAAATATGATAGGACAGCTACATTTAGGAATATAAACCAGGAAGGGCTAAATATAATCACACCTGAAAGATAGCTATTACTGCTCCACATACACCCAGAAAGAGGTGGTAGGGTATAAGGTGGACTAATATTTTCACAAATAACTCAAAAAATGGAGTGGGGATTACACAAATCAAACCACAGACAACACCAAAATGGCAGGGATTGCAAATCTGCAGAGGATGAAATTCAACTACTGGGCAATGTCTTTAAATTTGCCTTTATTGAATCTTGTATATTGAAGTCACATATTATTGTATCTCTTTATTGAGACTCAATAGGGCTAAATGCAGAGTGATTTATGAAAGAAGGAATAATCAAATTCATTAAGCAGAAAAGGGCACACACCTAGAGAGGCAGGCGCACAGGGGTCAGGACAGGCAGTGCACAGGAAGTGGTAGGGATAGCGCCCAGTGCAATGGGGTGGCCAAGGACCTCTGTTCTCTACACACAGAGGCTGTTATTAAGAGCCGATGTATAAAATAAACATGGAAATGTGTCTGTTACTCTCTGAGCTACTTGGCTTGGCCTTGGTGTTACTTCCAGTGGGAGTGCTGAGCTTAAATGTAAACCCAGAAAGGAGTTTAGAGCAGCACATCACAGAGGTTGGGATGCGGCCTGAGATAAACCAAGAATGCCAGGGGATGTTCAAAGAGCCTCCAGAATAGACAAAATTCTCAGTGTGCCTATTTGATGAGAAAAGATATGCAAAAGACAAGGGGGCCTGTAGGAGGGGGAAAAATGTAGCTCCTATCAAGAAAAAAACAATCATTCAGAGCACAGTTGGAATCATGGAAGAAAGGGTAGCTTATGGTAACACCATCCCTGGGGACACTCAAGGAGGTGACCAGACACCTCTCTACTTAGGATGCATTAGAGATTATTAAAAGCATTCCTTGCTCAATTCGTGGGTGGAGGGTGGGCCTCATGACCTCTCCAAAGGTCATTCCTATCCCAAAGGATCACATGTCTGAAGGGCACCAGATAAAAACAAAGTCTATTAATCACCAAGCTGCCACACAATTTCCTATGAGAGCCAGAAGACAGAAGGGCAATCTATGGTGGACCTTGGTCCCCCGAGGGAAGAGAAGGGAGGCAGCGCCTGTATTGGCAGAGCCAAGAAATCAGCCGCTGAGACTTCCAGAAAGCCAACATCAGGCCTTAGTTTTGGCCTCCCAAGCATCACAGGATAAACAGAAGGAGAAAGAGACCATGGGGATGGGAACAGGGGAAGAGCCAATAGCACTGTGGGCCCCCCCCCACAGCAGGGGGCGGGGCGTGATGCAAGCACTTCGCACTGAAAGAGGGGAGCCAGGCAAGAGAGGGACCCCACGGAGGGTGCTCCGTGGAGGTGACATGTGAGAAGGCAGACAGCCGACAAAAGAGCAAAGAGAGGAACTGAGAGGTGGGTGAAGAAGGGCACAAGGGGTGTGTCCTGGAATATATGGGATTATTGACTGCGAATCCAATGAAAACTGAAGAGATGGAGCAAAAAGTAATCCCACTAGCTATGGAAGCAGAAAATCACATCACAAAAATAAAGCTTTTGAAAAGAGGAATCGGATGGCAATGCCCCAGTCCCAAAGCAGCTGTTGGCATTCTCGAGGGCTGGGCTGCTGCAGCCAGGTACAGCTGGAGAGCCTGCTCCACGGGCCCAGAAGGACCCTTCCCAGCCCAGAACCAGTCCCCAGAGGGCCCACACTAGAGGGATTCCATGCATCAGAACAAAACAGAGGCCTTTCTGGGAGGCAAGCTGCCGGCCAAAGTAGGCACCTCCTGACATGGCCAAGAGACACCAGACCCCCTGCCCTGCTCCCTCCTCATCCTGGAACAGAAGCGCTGTGGGATGGAGATGTTACCTGCAAGAGTTGTCTCAGGAATGCCATCTGCACGGTGTATTAAGCAGCCAAATGGGGGTCATGGAGTTTGAGTTCTTCTAGCAAAATGTTCTCCAATCAGCTGTCACCCCACCGGGCACAGAACAACTTTTTGAAATCAAAAGAGGCCAGTGAAGAGGGAGGAAAGGGCACCACCCACAACGTGCTCCCTGAGTCCCATCTCTCCCATTCGTCCTCTGCTTCCACAGAGACTACAGACACTGCAAGATGTCAGCAGGAGGAACCACAGCGCCAGGGCCCTTCTCCTGTGGCACAGCTCTGCACCCCCACAGGGGAGAAGACATGAAGGGGAAAATGGCCAGGGAGCGTGGTTTCTAGGGCGGTCCTTGCTGTGGAATGAGCAGATGGTGCCCCATACCGTGAGAGGTAACTAGGGCAAGGATTCTAAACCCACCACCCAACGCTCTGCTAGGTGAGAAAGACAACAGCTCAGGAGCTGATGATAATCCCTCTGAAAGCTGAAGGTTTCTAGAAGCACGCCCACTGCCCCTGCTTCCTGTCCCACTCTCCCTCAGCCGCCTCTTCAGCTCTGTCTGCACCCCCTGAACCCAGGAGCCAGGCCCTGACTCCTTGTCCAAGAGATGCCTCTGAAGCAAGCAAGAAAGGCTGGAGATGGATCAAGGGCCATTTATTAAGCTAAGTCGCTGTCAGAGAAAGATTCATAACTTGCCCTACCTAGGACAGGAGAGACAGGAGGAAATGAAAGGGAAACATGAAAAGCCAAAGGAGCCGAGTACCTTTGTCGGAGGATTTTGAGTTATGCTTTTGTTTGTAACTCTCTGAAACAGAGAAAGAAATAGAGGATGAATCTTCAGGAGACAAAGAGAGAGAAAGAGAGAGTGAGCCAGAAGAAAGCCACCAAGGGGGCACTGCCAGAGGCAGGAGGCCTCCGGGGCTTGCTTCTTCCTCATGCAAAAACACCTGGGTGGGCGAGTGGCAGCAGCAGCAGCAAGAGGTGGTGCATTTGCTGAGGCAGCAGGCATGCAAGGTGGAGTGCAGGTCCAAGAGGAGGAGCCAGGGAGCCTGAGGCTGGGGGAGACAGCCAGGGAAGCACGGGGAAGGGGGTGCTGGGGGCAGAGGCAGAGGCAGGAAGGCGGCATCTGCTGTACTTACTGTCACAGACGTAAGGTTTGTCATGGTCTTCCTGAGAGGCAGCGTCGTGCCTCCTCCTACCACCTGCCGAACCACGGGCCTGGGGAGACAAGGAACCAGGATGCTTGTTACAGTGATGGTCACTATGGCTCCTGAGCGCGTACTCTGTGGGGCCCCGAACACTTCACCTACACCTCTTCATCCCGTCTTCCTGGACACAGCATTTGAACCAATACCAACCCCATTTTACAGGCCAAGAAACTGAGGCCCAGAGAGGTCAAGTAACTTGCCCCAGAGTGCTCAGCTATTCACCCATATCATCTCATTAAATGTTCACAACGACTCCAAGAGATGTACTACTATTATCTCGATTTTACAGATCAGGAGACTGAGGCAACAAGTGAAGTAGCTTGTCCAGAGTCCCTCTGCTACTAAGCCCGGACCCAGGACATAAACTCACAACAGTGTGACTGCAAAGCCTACATCTACCCGATCCCTGTACTCTGTTGTTGCCACAGGGACCTCCTCGTCCAGCTGCCCAGCCTTCTAGCTTCATTGGCCTCCACATGCAGATGCCCACCCTGCCCACCTCAGTTGACCAGATGACGGCAGACTGGGAGCAATCCACAGGCATCATCCCAGGCTCTTGCCCCAGGTTCACACTGTCCCCTTCTAGCGTCTCAAGAGCCAACCAGGCCTGGCCTCAGGTCTAGGGCACAAGCCCAGGCAAGCATGGCGGGGAGCTCCCCTCATCACCCCTGCTCAGCCTACTTTGTGGGGGTGATCTGCCTCAGGCCTCTGGCCAGTGACACAAGTCTTGATACCTCACAGTCTGCTGGGGCCGGACTCCTGATCCCACCACCCTGCACGCATCTCCAGAAAGGGTCAGCACAACCTGGGGTGGAGGTGGGATGAGTTCTACCTCCAAGAATAGAGGAGGCCAGCCAGAGAGGGTGCTAGCAGCTCTGCAGCCCCGGGACAGTGGCTACAAGAACGCAGCAAGGTTTATTTTTAAACCTTTGTAAGTCCCACATGGTCACGTGTGTAGCACCCTGGCCTCCTCCAGGTCATTACTCTGGTAATGAGTAGCAGTAAACTGCCAACCAGGGAAAGGCCCTGCTGAGGTCTTTGGGGACAGAGAAGGAGACGCAGCAGATGAGAAATAAAACATGGCAGCCACCCGGGGTGCAGGGGCAATGGGACAGCCCCAGGGGCCGGGCCTGGACAGGGGCCCTGGGGGCTTCAGGGTCAAAAGGTCCATGATGCTCACACACACACACACACACACACACACACACACACGCACACACACACACACACACTCACTCACTCACTGTGGATTTCACAGCAGAAAGGCCTGTACCCCAGGCCCTCGGTGTTCACAGGCTCTCACAAAACACGCACTCTTCACAGTCAACACCACCTGCCAAGCTACCACCTCCACCTCCTCCTCAGCTTGTCTCTCTCCAAAACAAATTACAAAATTCCACCTCCCTCCCCCCAGCTTTGCCGCTCTGCCTCCCCACCCCCTACCCAAGCAGGCGACAGCCAGCCCGGCCCCCTCCCGCCCTGGCCTCATTACTCAGAGTTGACCCGAAGAGGGAGCTGTGAGGTTCCGCGGTCACCCGCAGGCACTGACAGGCCTCCCCGCCTGCCCACGATGATGACGACGGGGAGGGTGGTCACCCTCAGCTGCCCTCGCCACCCCCCACGCCCCCACAGTGAAGCCAGGGACAGCTTGACGTGTGCAGCCTGCAGCCCTGTCACAGCCGCCTGGAGCAGGTGAAAGCAAGTCAAGCAGAATGACGAGCCAACAGCAGACGCGGGGAAGGGGCTCAGAGAGACTAAAAATACCGCCTGGGCTAAGAGGAGGCGACGCGGGCCTGGAAAGCACTGGAAGCAGGGACTCCTGGGGGAGCAGCCAGCGGGAGGGGGAGGGCCCCGCCGAGAGGCAGGGTTGGATTTCACTCCACAAGTCTGAGCAACACCGTCACTTCCACACTCTCCCTGCACCTTGGTTTCCTCAACTGCAAAATGGGCACATGCCAGGGACTCTTCCGGCGGCCAGAGCCCTCCTGTAGTCTCCTGGAATCGCTCAAACTTGGAAACTCGGAATCCCTCTAGTCTTGCCCAGATGTCACCTCCTCAGAGAAGCCCTCCCTGACCAAACTATATCAACTCATACCCTCTCCATTTTTCTCTTTCCCCTGCCCTGCTTTATGTTTGGTCCCAGCACGTAGCGTCCTCTGACGTCGTGTTATACACGTGTTGGTATACTTGTTGATGGCCTGTCTCCCCATCAAGAGGGTGGAAAACTTCTATTGGGCCACACGATATTCAGAACCGGGTACAGGGCCTGCCACTTAAGACACACTTACTAAACACTGGCTGAGTCAACTGGTCAGTCGCTCAGTGAGTCAGTCATCTGTGGTTCTTCTCCTTTATTCTTTATATCAAGTGCTATTGTTGCTTCCTTCAAAGGCCATCTTAGGCTTTGCGTTTCCCTTCTGTTCTGCATTCTAGTCCAGGAGCTCATCACCTGACCCCGAGTGCAACAAGAACCCACCGGCTGGAGTTCCACCTCTGCACTGCCCTTCCCAACCCGCCCTGCATGACTCCCAGACCAATTAGACAAAACGAGTGAAGGACAGAGCCCATGGTCATTCACTCGTTCATTCATCGCCATCTAAAACCACAGACACAACCAACGGCAACCCAGTGCCGATGCCGTCAGGTTCGCCTCACGCTCATGCTATGTCCATGTATTCATCTTTTACTGATCCCTGTCATGGATCAGCCTCTCCTCTGTCACCCACACAGGTCCATGCTTTAGCCCCACTAATATCCCACTCCTCCAAGAATTTTCCTCTTGTCAGATTGAGGAATAAAAAAGAGCATCAGCTTTAAAGGCAGACAGGCGTAGGTTTAAACACCAGCCCTGTGTCTTTAGACAGGTTACTTCTCTAAGTTTTAATTTTCTCAACTGTAAAATGGGCACAGCAACACCTCTTACTGTAGAGTTGCTGGGAGGGTTGGTGTTGAGAGTGTGCGAAACCACAGGGGACAGCGCCACATCCACAGGAAGTGCTCAATAAATTACTTCCCCTTCTTGCCCAAGCTGATCTCCACTCTCTCCCCTGAACTTTTATTGCATTTGGTTAGTGCACAGACAGAAGCCTGCTGTTTTCTAATTGTATCATGGCCGTTCGTATTTTCTCCTCAATTTAATCCCAAGGTTCTTAAGAGCAAAGGTGGCATTTCATACTTTACTATGAACGCCCAACGCTTAGACCTACGTTGGGCACTTAGCATCCAAAGCTCTTTCACATGTATTAGCTCAGTGCATTCCAACCATACATCGTGAGTTACAGAAAAGTAATACTATTCCCCTTTGGCACTGGATGAGAGGGGCTCTAAGAAGGTTTGTGACTTGTCCATAGTCACAGAGTCAGTAGAAGGGGCAGGACCTAGGTTTCCAGGCTCTGTTCTGTAAAAGTTTGATGCTGACTGTGCAAAAGAAACCATCCTCCCTCTCTGAGAATCGTCCACCCCACTCCCCTCCTCCCCACCCCACCCCTCCCCACCCCACTCCCCTCCCATCCTCCCCAACCTACCCCACCCCACTCCCCTCCCCAACCCACCCTATCCCACTCCCCTCCCCTCCTCCCCTCCTCCCCACCCTATCCCACTCCCCTCCCCTCCTCCCCTCCTCCCCACCCCACTCCTATTCAGACACCCAGAAGCCAAGACAGCCCTAATTGTACCACATAGCCCGGCCCCCCTGACCACAGCTGATTGACTGGCTCAGTAGTGGCCACATGACCTAAGCTGGGCCAATCAGATTCTACCTCTGAAGCACCTGGTGTTGGGGCAATGACTCCAGGGAGTACAGGCACTTGAACTGGGAGACCATCAATTCAGGAGCTGTGGAGCCATGGGTACAGAGAAGAAGGAAACACAGTCTTTTGATAGGAAAATATGGAAGGAAATAGAGGCCATGAGCTGCCTGGGTTCCTTATTCTTTGCCAGTCCTAAATCCCTTACCATTTTCTTGCCTTTCCTGTGGGTTAAATCTTCTAAGACTACATATCTGGGGCAGTGACCCAGCAGCTTGTCAAATACTCTCCATTTTTGCTGAAGCTGTTGAGTTTCTGGCGATTAAAAGATGCTTGACTAAGGCTCATAGAGCTAGCTCCTCCCTAGGAGTTGTTCTCAAATAATGGCCCAAGGATTGCTGGGGAATCCTTGAAACCCTTTCAGGGGGTCTGCTATCAAAACTATTTTCATAACAGTACTAAATAGTATTAGAACATTAGTTGAGACTTTACACTCTCGTTCCCTCACAAATGCACAGTGGAGTTTTCCAGAGGCTACCTGACAAGATGATATCATCACTCTGTGTGCTGGTATATTCTGAAGATTAACATTTTTTTCTGTTTTAATTTCTAATATGGTAATTATCACTAGTTATAACCCACCAGAACAATAGCTTTGAGGGGCTCTCAGTAATTTTTAAGTAGAGAAGACCAAAAAAAAAAAAAAAAAAACCCAACTCCTGAGGGCCATATCTCCACATTCTTGCTATTTAAAATGTGGTCCTCAGACCAGCAGTGCTGGTATCACCTGGGAGCTTGTTAACCAGACAAAATCTCAGTACCACCCAACCCCCAGACCCTCTGCATCAGAATTTGCACTTTAACAAGATCACCATGTGCTTCATAAGCACATTAGTTTGAGAAGCACTGGACAGCACCATAGTGCATCAATAAATAGTTACTGATTGATTGATTGATTGATAATACTCACATGGCTGACTTCCAGGAATTTCATGAATTTTAAAGAGCTTGGATTTCTTGGGCTAAAGTTAGCACAGACATAATTATTAATTGTTGGGTCTGAATTTCCCTCCCCACTCAGGGTATCCCCATTAGGGTTGGGGCTAGCCTAAAGAGTTTTTCCCTTTGCACCCTCTTAACAATGTCTAGCTTTTATTAAAGTTGGTATTATTACTCTCATAATTTTCATTATGAGAAACTGAGGCCCAGAGTTTCTATAATTTGATCAAGATAATGAGGTTACATAATGCACCCAAAGTCTAGTAAATGGTGGAGCTGGGATTCGAACTCACGGTTCACACAAGGCAGAGGCTGCCCTTGTAATCACTACTTTGCCCCTGGCTTCCTCAATGAGTACACAAAGCACCGGGGGGGGGGGGGGTCTTGTCAAAGTGCAAGCTCTAATTCAGTCCATCCAGGGTTGAGTCCAGGGTCCTGGGTGCCTGACAAGCTCCCAGGTAATCCTGATGCTGCATTCCAGGGGCCACCCACTGAGGGTGCCACCTGCCAGTCTTGACAACAGAAATGCTCTCTAGGAACCAGCAGCAACTTGAATATGCCTCTTACAAGGGTAGCTACATTGAGGCTGTGGGTGAAACAGCTTCACATTTGTATTCCAGCACAGGCAGGGCTCACTCATACCCTTCTAGGTCATCCCATGGCTCCCACCATGGATGACATGTCCATGGTGCCACTACACAACATAAAGCCATTCAGCTGCCCCTTGGCTGGCACCATATAGGCCCCTGAGCTAGTCTAGGCCCCATCCAGCTCCATCTCTGTACTTAGGCCTTCTCTCAACTCTGACAAAGTTGAAATATAGCTTTTCTTTCCTTCCCATCACTCAGTCATTCATTCAACAAGCTAGTCTTTAGCCACATGATGGCACTGGGCCAGGCATGACTCGGTGACAAAATTACACACCTTTATTCAAATCCTGACTCCTTCTCTACTAGTTTAGATGACCTTGAGCAAGTTACATAATCTCTCTGGGAGTGATAATACCAATCTATGGGAATGCAACAAGAAGTGAGGGCCAATAGAAACATAATGTGAGCCACACACATCATTTTAAATTTTCTAGTAACCACATTTTTCAAAAAGTAAAAAGAGAAACAAGTACAATTAATGTTAATAGTATATTTTATTTAACCCAACGTATTCAAACTATTATCACTTCAATATGCAATCAATATAAAAAATAGTAATGATATGCTTTGCATTCTTTTCATACTAAGTCTTTGAATGGTGTGTATTTTACATTTGCAGCACATTTTAATTTGAACTGGCAACATTTTAAGTGCTCAGTCACCACATGTGGCTAGTGGCTGCTGTAAGGAACAGTACAGAAATTGAGAGTGCAATACAAAGTACGCAGTCGTCACCCTCTATGTATAGCTCTCGTAAAGAGCCCCATCATGTGGCCTGGTGTCCCGTAAGTACGCAGTGAGTATGCAGTGGCTGCTGCTGCCACCATGGTGTTCTCACAGAGGAGGCACACAGCTCATATCCATGCACTTCTGAGTTCAGTCATCTAGATTTAGGTTGGGAGTGGAGAAGATGTGAAGAGGACCATTCTCTGCAATCTACCCCTGTAACCTTGGCTTGGGCTGAGGGACGGGGTGGAAGTAGGCCTGGATGCATGGAGCTCTTGGAGCTACAAAACACCCAGAAATTCTAAAACCCCCTCCAATGATGGAATTAGATATTCATTATTTTGCAGCCTGCAATGAAGTCATGGATTTGAGCAAGCTTTTCAATGTCTGCTGAAACAACCAGATGAAAACTTGATGAAGAACCTTCTAAGGAGAAATCAAGCTGACAATACCTGAACCTACTGATCCATTTCCCCCCGAGAGTGGAACAGCTGGACAACGTGTACCTCCTGATGTGATGCAGTAAAAGAAGCACAGGAAAGGTTTTTGCCCCACCAAAACAATATTTACACACATACACACATAGCACAAATCTAATCAAGTCTCTAATCAAACCACCAGTTTCCAGAACATAAACCCAGCCACCAAATCTAGAATGTAGGGAATTCTATGAGATAAACCACCCAAGTTTGTCAACAAATAAATAGCATGGAGAAAAAAAAAAGTGTGTGTGTGTTTGTGTGTGTGTGTGTGTGTGTGTGTGTGTGTGTGGTAGGGTAGAGCAGGAAAGAGGTATGTCATAGAATAGAAGAGACTTAAGTTCCAAACAAACCAACTGTAGAATGGCATTTTTGAGAAAATCCAGGGAAACCATCAGGGACTGGATAGTAGATATTAAAATAGTTGTTGTTTTTATTGGTTATGAAAAATGCTATTTGTTAGAGATAGACATTGAGGTATGTATAGGTTAAATGATAAAATGTCTAGGATTTCCTTTCAGATATTATCCCAAAAATTAAATATACAAACCAACACAACATGAGAGTAAAGAACAAATAAGACAAGATCATTGCTGAAGCTAGCTGGCCACTCCAGAAGGCACGCAGCATCAGAGAGCTGCCCTGCCCAGCCTGAGAAATTCCAGCCCCTGTCAACAAGTCAGGGCATCCGAGCTCAGTGTGGGCAGCAGTGGACCACTTACATCAGCCACCTAGAAATTTGCTTATAATACAGCTTTCTGGGCCCTACCCAAGACTTCCTAAATCAGAACTTCTAGGAGTGGGTCCTGGGAATCTGCTTTTCGATAGGTTCTCCTGGTGACTGATGAATACTAGAGCACAGGAAGCATGGAAACAGGACACCTGGGTGGCCCAGTGGTTGAGCATCTGTCTTTGGCTCAGGGCATGATCCAGGGGTCCTAGGATCAAGTCCCACATTGGGCTCCCCACAGGAAGTCTGCTTCTCATTCTGCCTATGTCTTTGCCTCTCTCTCTGTGTGTGTCTCTCATGAATGAATAAATAAAATATTTCAAAGAGAAGAAGAAAGAAAGAAAGAAAGAAGAAAGAAAGAAAGAAAGAAAGAAAGAAAGAAAGAAAGAAAGAAAGAAAAGAAAAGAAAGAAAGAAACAGACACAGGAATAGAGAGGCTTGCTGTAATTACCCTTGGACCCAAAACCACAGGGTGCCCATGGATAAGAGGGGTAAGGCTCCCCTAGAGCCTGAAGGAGCCAGAAGGCCTAATACTAATTCTCTATATAGAAAGCAAACTTATCCCGGAAGGTCCCTCTCCACCTTATTATTGTCAGATGCCCTTGCAGCCACCTGAGGGTGGCCACCAAGAGCCCCTTGAGCTTGGACATTAGGATTCTGGAGGAGCAACCTGCATGCCTAAGAACACCACTCAGACTTGGGTCTCGGCCCTCAAGGACCACTCCCACAACTTTATACTTTCTGGCCTCCTCTTGCCACATCCCCAGCTGCACCAAAAGCCCCTGCCTCACCCACTTGGAAACCATTAGCTGTGGCCCCCACAGTTTTCCAGAGTGATCCTACTCTCCGCCTAGTGAAGCATACCCCAAAGCAGGTGTCTTGACCCTGTCATTCTGGAACAGCCCCAGGGACGGGAAAATTCAGCCTTCTTTTAAGACCAAGTAATGGGAGACGCCTGGGTGGCTCAGGGGTTGAGCATCTGCCTTTGGCTCAGGGTGTGATCCCAGTTGGGGGATGAAGTCTCATATCAGGCTCCCTGTGAGGAGCCTGCTTATCCCTCTGCCTATGTCTCTGCTTCTCTCTGTGTCTCCCATGAATAAATAAATAAAATCTTAAAAAAAAAAAAGCCAAGTAATGGGTACAATAGTCACACTCTCCTCCTCCTCCACCTTCCCTAGACCCCACCCCAACCCTTCCAGAACCCTCACTGTCCCCTCAGGGCACCTTCTCTCTCTTTTCCCTCTTGCTAGCTCTAAACTCTTCCAGGCTCCCACCTAGGATCAGAGCCCTTCTGGAGTTTCCTCTCTGAGTGTTCTTTAAGGGAGATGGCAGATATGAGAGCTCTGTCTGCTTCTGGGGGGACTTGGGGTCTGTGGACCAGTTCTCCTGGCCTTGGCCTCCCTGCCTCCCTCAATGCTTCCCTCCTTCCTGGCATCCCCAGCTTACCCGTCCTCTGGTCCTATTCTTGCGCTTGGGGATATCCTCTTCTAAATCTTCTTCTTCATTTCCTTCTTCTACATTTTCATCATTTTCCAAAACCCTCTGAAATGACAAGAAAATAAACAGAAAGGTTGAGAAATAAAATGCAAAAGAGAAAGCCACTGGATGGTAATTTAAGGAAGGAGCAGGAGGTCTATTTTGTTCTTGTGCTTTGACAAAGTGAAGGAGCTGCCATTGCTGGGGAAGCAGGCCTCCGAAAGGCTGCCCAGAGTCCGAGCTCTTGGCGGAAACATCTCTCTCAACCCCCTGGGCCCCTTCCAGCCCAATCCTCCCAGAACACTGACTTTTTTCAACTCTTTTTACCCAAGAAACATTTTCTAAAAGAACACTCTGGTCGGGGTGCTTTTCTATGTGAACTCAAGACGTTTTTCAAAACTTACTTTTTTCATGTAATTTCCTTTTGTTCCTAAATATGAAAATATGTTCCTCCTTTCTCTGCCATTCTGGAACCCTGCCCTGTTTGATGAAACAAGTAACTTCCTGTTCATCTGACCAGAATCTGACATTAATGTGTTGTTCTTAATCATTCATTGTTTTGGGTTTTTTTTAATGGATTTTCATTATATCACATTACTTATAATGAAGCTTAAAGATCATGAATTTAATTATGTCTCTCCAAAAGAACTGTGATTCACATAGCAGAGAGTCCAATTTCCATTTTACAGGTGAATAAACTGAGGGTAAAAACAGTTTTGATTGTCCAAGGTCATACAGTGAATCCATGGCCAAAGCCAAGTCAGGTTCATCAGTTCAGAGTTTTCTGGTCCTTTCTCAGCCCTATGTCCAAAGACTGAAGGTATATTATGTAGACCCTTCCTGTAGGGACCTGAACACTTCACTCCCTTTGCAGGGAGGGGAGGGCTGGTAAGGCATGTACCTCTAGGCTTAGGGAGAAATGAATAATTGTGGCTGAGGACCCAGGTCCCCAGAGTGAAAGTGAGATAAGGAGAAGGGGCATGGAGTTCACTGGCCTCTATGTCGACAGCCCTAGGAGCTTCTTTATGGACTCACTGTGCAAACTCAGGTGAGGCATTGTCTCTTCATGCCTTAGTTTCCCCAATTATAAAATAGGAATTTACTTATTCATTCAATCAACAAGCATTTGTCAAGTGCTGACTACATGGCAGGCACTGTGCTAGATAAGCCACAAAATGACTACAGTTCTTGCCTTAAAAGGACTCTACGATACAATGAAGGGAGAATAGATCTAAACAACATCCACAACCATATAGTTACAACTGCCATAAACACAGTGACAAGAAAGTGCAAGCTGCTACTAGAGGCTATTAGAGGGAATTTTACCTAATCTGAGGGTCAGGAAAGGCTTACCTGAGGAAGTGACCTAAGCAAGCTGAGATGTGAAGGATAAGCAAAGACTAGCCTTGGGAATGGGGATGAAAGGCAAGGAGAGAGGAAAAGTGTTCTAGGCAGAGGGAAGAGCATGAGCAAGCTCTCTGAGGCAGGGAAAGGAACACGGCTTGCCCATGTTGCAGAAAGAGGCCAGGGCGACTAGAGTTCAGTGACTCAGGGAGAGATTGGCATAAGATGAGGCTAGAAAGGTGGGGGGGATACCATATTACACAGGATGGTAGCTTCAGCATCCACCCACTCTTGTGATGGTGTGACAATCATGCAACCTATGAAAAGGCTTAGAAATGGCACATGCTGTACTGACATGTGGTATCATCATTGCTCTTCAAGTGGCCTTCCAGACAACGCCTCTGGCCTGTTCTCCAAGCAGGAAGTCCAGGAGTGAGTTTCCAGAGACCTTCTCCCACTGCCTTGTCAGAGTTCTCTCCCAATCACAGGGGTCAGGACACTGCCCATTACAGATCCTCACAAAGAACTCAAAACAAGTCTCATGAATTCTCCTCTGGCTTCTCTACTAGGCTTAGTTGGGAAGCCATCAGCTGACTGCACACCGGGGTCTCTGGGCCAACTATAGCCATCTAACAGAGAAGTAGTACTGTCTGCTAGACATGCCCTCTGCCCATAGCTAGGAAACATTGGCCCAGACCCCATGCAAGTCTTTTAGGCTCTCTGCATCTTGGCTTCCTGAACCATAGGTGGGAACACAAGTGAAAGTCAGGCAAGACAATGACAAGTCAAATGCTCTGCAGAGTTTGGGGAAAAGATACGGTATAAATATGAGGTGTTGTTGTTATGACTGTTGTTGCTGTTTAAACAGTGTCTCGCCAACTTTGGGTCTTGAAGTCATTTAATCATGGTGAGTTCCAAGGACCTCAAATTAAAAGGTCATTGCCTCTGGCATACTGTACAATCTGACTCCACTCTCATTTTTCATCATGAAGGTATTTATAATCTGCAAAATGGACTCCGGGTTGGAAGTGAAAAACTGGTGAAGGTGACTGAGCTAGTCTCCAGCAAGTGCCTGTTTCATGGCCTCAGCGTCCGGATGTAAACTGACTTCCCCCTCCTTCTTCCCACTGGTCTCCCTGTGTCTTGAGAACCCCTGGTCTGTGCCCCAGGCCTCAGACGTGACAGCAGCCTCCCCAGTGTATTTGCATTTCCTGCGATGATGTGGCCCTGACACCCAGAAGCCTCTCCATATAACTAGGGAGGAGCCAGAAGTTCCTAACAAAGCTCACATTCAGGACTCAGGAAGCAGAGGGGGCGTCCTGTGCAGAGGAGTCAAAAGCAGGAGTCCAACTGAGATGCAGCTGACCCCCCACTAACCTACTTGCATTCCCTGTCCAAGGACATTATCTGGAAAATAAACACATTTGAAAATAACTTTTCTCCCTGTTACTCTAAACAGTTTTTATGGTGATGATAACAATTGTTTGTGGTTGTGTTTTAAAAAGAAGAAGGAATGCCTTTAAAAGACTCCATTATCTCTGGCCTGGAGGGCTGCAAAAATCTCCTAACTGATTTTCCTCCTTCTCCCGTTGGCCGTGCATCCAGTGTCCTTTCCAGGCAGCAGCCAAAGGGATCTTGAGGAAACACAAATTTGCTGCCCTGGTTAAAATACCTTCCTTCTTCATATCCATGAAATCAAGTGCCTCCTCCAGGTCCTGAGAGGCCAGAGTGGTCAGACCTGGCCCAACACTCCTGCTCCAGCCTAGGCCCTTCTCTGCCTGGCTGTGCTCTAGCCACACAGGCCTTCTGCCTTCCTTTTTTTTTTCCTTTTTTCTTTCTCCTTTTAATTATTGAGGTATAATTGACATGCAATATTACATTAGTTTCAGGTGAACAACACAGTGATTTGACATTTGTAGGCACTGTGAAATGGTCACCACAGTGAGTCTAGTTACCATCTGCTACCCTACAAAATTAATATGTTATTGACTACATTCAGCATGCTGTATATTACATCCCCATGACTTATTTTATAACCGGAAGTTCGTACTCTTTAATCCCCTTCACCCACTTCACACCCTTCCAATCCTCCTCTTCTCTGGCAACCACCAATCTGTTCTCTGGATCTAGAAGTCTGGGTTTGGTTTTGTTTTTTAGATTCCATATATAAGTGAAATCATGTGGTGTTTGTCTTTCTCCGATTTATTTCACTTAGCATAATGTCCTCAAGGGTCATCCATCTTCTCGCAAATGGCAAGGCTTCGTTCATTTTTATGACTGAGTCGTATTCCACTGTGTCTATGTACCACATCTTCTTTATCCATCCATCCATCAGTGGACATTTAGATTGTTTCCATGTCTTAGCTATTGTAAATAATGCTGCAGTGAACATAAGGGTGCATATATCTTTCTGAACTAGTGTTTCCATTTTCCTCAGAGACATACCTGGAAGTTGAATTGCTAGGTCATAAGACAGTTCTGTTTTTAATTTTTTGAGGAGCCTCCATACATTTTTCACAGTGGCTGCACCAATTCCCATTCCCACCATCAGTGCACGAGGGGTGCCTTTTCTCCACATGCTCACCACTACTTGTTACTTTTTGTCTTTTGACAATAGCCATCCTGACAGGTGTGGGGTGATCTCATTGTGGTTTGATTTGCATCTCCTTGATGACGAGGGATGTTGAGCATCTTTTCATGTGCCTGCCGGCCATCTGTGCGTGTCTTGTTTGGAAAAATGTCTGTTCGGGTCTTCTGCCCATTTTGTAATTGAATTGTTTGGGTTTTTGTTATTGAGTTGTAGAAGTTCTGCATCTTGTCTGTTCAAACTACAAACTCAAACCTATCCAAGGCCTTCAAGCACACTGTTCCTCTGCCCAGAAAGCTCCTCCCCACATCATCACTTCCTTAGCTTCCTTTCCACCCTTAGGACTGAGGTTAAATCCCTTATCTCCCTTAGGACATTACCTATAATCTATCCCTCCTCTTATACTGAATCTTCATCCTCTGTTCTTTCCATGGTCATTTATCCTGAAATGCAATTATTTCCTTTGTGTACTTGTTTTCTGTCTGTATGTCATACTAGAATATAAATGTGAACAGGTGGGACTGCTGTCTCTTGGTTTCTCTGTCTCCCCAGAACCTAGCACAGTGCCTGCTCAGAAGAGACACTCAATAAAATTTGGTTAAATGGATGAATGAAAAAATGAACAGTGGTTAGGTAGCTCAGTGGTTTAGCACTGCCTTCAGCCCAGGGCGTGATCCTAGAGACCCAGGATGGAGCCCCACGTCGGGCTCCCTGCATGGAGCCTGCTTCACCCTCTGCCTGTGTCTCTGCCTCTCTCTCTCTGTGCCTCTCATGAATGAATGAATGAATGAAATAAATAAATAAATAAATAAATAAATCTTTTTAAAAAAATGAACAAATATAACCCATTTACTACATGTGTACTTTATTTTAATAACCAAAGCCGGTAAGAACTTGTAAACTCATTTGGCTTGTGGTCCTGGTTTCAGCTTCTAACACAGTAAATGGTAGCTCCATGCTCTGGGCACAGTAGACATTCCATTTACATCAGGGATGCTGGTTATGGTAATGATTCCACAGTGATGGCCTGTATACTGATTGGCCCAACATTGCCTGAGAGGAACCTGAACCCACCACCAGCTTGAGAGGTTAAAAGACTACCTGTCACTAGAGCATCAGGGTTTCTAAACAATGGTTCTGTCCCATTCACTGATGAAATTACACTAACTACACAATACAGATGTGACACACCTTAACTTTCAAAGACCTGGAAAGTCCAAATGTTGGGGGAAAGGGAAAGAAAACAAAGAAGAAAGTATGAGTCACCCTAAATGCCAGTGACAAGAAGAATCCCTCTGGCTGGAGGCCAATCAAGAAAGGCTTCCTGGGGAAGGTGGTATCGGGGCTGAGCCTGACCGATGGGTAGAAATCTATGCACACAGAGCAGGAGAGAAGATTCACCAGGTAAAGAACACGGTGTGACCACAGGCTCAGAGGAAAGAAGGCTGAAGAACAGGGGGAGGAATAGGAGGAAATAAGCCTGAAAACTAGATTCAGAGCAGAGAGAGGAAGCCCAAGAAGATTACACTCATCACCTTGGATGGACCTGGTAGGATATGGGTGTTTCAGCTAAGTTTTTTTAAACAAGGGATGGCATAAGCTGGGCTTTTCCTCAGGGTAAAAGATCAGCTAGCAAAGTAGGACATGTTGGAGAAAGGAAGGACTGGGGATGGGTGACTCTCAGGAGTCTTCACTCATACACCGCTTCACAGATACTTATTGTGCACCACTATGTACTAAGTGCTGTTCACATGCTTCAGATGTATTAGTGAACAAGACAAAGATCACACCCTTGAGTTTACACTCCATTCGAAGAAAACAGAAAAGAAACGATAATATAGATCAGCAAATTACAGAGTATGTTAGAGAGTGATCAAAGTTATGGGGAAAAAAGAAAAAGCAAAGGAAAGCAGAGTAAAGGAATCAGGAGATCTGGAGGATGGGGAGGGCACAAAATGTGGTAGTGCACACAACATCAAGGTGAACTTCACAGAGAAGAAGAGACACAAATTGAAGAAGGAGCACAAACTGTAGAAGGAGAGGGCGAGGGCCCAGCTGATATCTGGGGAGAGGACTCTGCAGGCGGAGGAAACAGGCCAAGCAAAACCCCGAGGCAACAGAGTGCCTGGCGTGTTCTAGAAGGAACAAAATGAGGTCAGTGTGCCTGCAGCAGAATGAGCAAGGGGAAGGCGAAGCAACCAAGTCAGAAAGGTAAAAGGGACTTGACTTTTCTTTTTGGAGAACAGGAGCCTGTGCCAGGTTTGGGGGCACAGGAATAACAGGATCCAACTTAGGTTTAAAGGATTGCCCCTCAGTCATCAGTAGGAGCACCACTTAGAAAGCAGTTGTAGTAGTTCAGACAGATGATGACAGTGGCCGGAACCAGGGCAGTAGCAGGGGGAAATGATAAGAGGAGCCTGTGCTCCAGATTTGGGTTGTGGGCGGGATTCCTGATGAACTGGATGTTGGGTGTGATGGAAATACAGGAGTGGCAGATGACTCCAAGGTGCATTAGGCACATCAAGGTTACAGCTATTGAGGATCTTCACTAGGGCTGTAGCTCTGAGGAGCGGAGGCAACCAATGTAAGCCATGTTGTGACATGGAAAAGACCTGGCCACTCATCTGAACACAGGAATGGCAGACAAGGAGGCCAATTCATGGCTACATTCCACATCTTTATTGAGACTCGACTCTGCTGGGCACGTGCAAGGCCCCAAGGGGACAATGGTGAACGAGACAGCATGGTTCCTGACAGTGGAATGCGCTGACCAGTGGTACTCATGATGCAAACCAAAAATGTAATGGTTATTGCTTTAATTATAGTGTCAATAAATTAATATGCAAGTACTAAACATTAAATTGGATATACAATTAATAAATATGTAATATATAATATGTATCACATGAAATAGTATAATAAAATATACATTTAATATCAATGTAATTTGATTTTAATAATTGAATTATATTTAATTATTAATACTATTGTTTAATATTTATATTAATTAAAATTACTACAATACTCCAGGCCAACTATTGCATTTGACAACAGAGATTTAAGACAAACCAGAACCAGTGAGAGAGTACCATTGTAATCTTGAGCAGTGAGAGCCTCTGCAGTGCTGGGAGCAGAGGGTGGGAAACCAGCAGGGACAGGAGCCCCCAGCCCTGCCTGGAGGCTGACTCCTCCACTGGCCTCATAGCAGGAGAGGGCGATACTGTGAACTAGAGCTAAAAATGGGGTGTGAGGAAGAGGGGAGCAGGCCAAGTCAGGGGCTCACTCGGGACAGGCTGGTATAGACAACCCCAAGGTTTCAAGCCTGAATTATGAACTGTTGGATCTACAGGCTCTCCATCTGTGTTGGTCACCATCGTGTCCCCAGGACCTAGCATGGCACCTGGCCCACAGCAGGCTCAAAAAATATATTTTGAATGGGGACACCAAGAGAGAGATGTACTGACTTCTTCTGGAGGACAGGTTACAGGAGAAAAGAATTCACGAGTCTCCCAACAGCAATGCCAGGGTGGGTGGTCTGAGAGGGGGAGTCGAGCCAGTGCTGGACTCTTGGCAGCATGGGGCTGACATTCTGGAAGCATCCCCCATAGTGGGCCCAGAAGTACCTGTATTTCCTGCATGCTTTCCTCCTCTCTGGCATCCACCTTCTTCTCAACACCCTCACCACGGAGCAAGGCTTCCAGGGTGGTGCTTTCTGAGGTAAAGCCATCCTTCTTCAGGGGAAGCTCCACTTCTGACAAGTAAAGACAGAGAAGTAGGGTCAGGCCATTAGAAGCAGCAGGGACAGGAGGGATAAGAGGGACAGGAGGAATAAGAGTGACAGGAGGTGGCACTTGAGCGCATGCAGGAACCTGAGACCCGGGTAGGGCTAGAGGCGGCCTGCCTCTCTCCTCTGGGTGGAACAGCCACACCGGAGTTGGGTCTGGCTTTTCCATCTCCTGTTCACAGTCTCGGAGAAGATTCCAGCCCTGCCCATATCCTCGCAGACAGCAGAGGCAGAGCAGCAGAGCACCAGATAGACAGTGATGGCGAGCAAGGCACTCGGGGATGCCAGGACCCTTTTCTACATCTACAAAGTGAAGAGAACAATGCCCAGTACCCATAGGGCCACCTTGTGGGGCATAAGTATGTCCCTTCACAGTAAAGTGCTTTGAAATCCCTATAGCGATACACCAATGTCAGCCTTGAATCTTAGTATTCTCTCCCTCTACCCCAAGTCTTGCCTGGCAACTCTGTGACCTCCCCTCAGCCATGCTGGCTGCCCAGCTCTGGGTTGCTCCATGAGAAGCTATTTCAACCCCAGAGAGGCTGTTCTCATCAAGGGATACAAAGACCACTAAAGCCAAGGAAAAAGAAGAGGGAGCACAGACACCTAACAGATCCCAAACTGATGGCTGGGAGCTGCAGTGCCTGCACACCAGGACACTTTTTCTGAAGATGTCAGGTACCAAGGGCTTGAAGTCATGAGGCCAGCTGAGCAGTGTCAGCCAGAGTCAGCCCTGCCCATGAGAGAGACCAGAGAAAGAAGCTGCACTCCTTTCCCAAGATGTCCCCCAAATTCTTAACCCAAAGGAAGATTGTCTTTGTTTTTGTTACATTAAAAGCAGAAACCTCTAAATAAATAAATAAATAGATAGATAGATAGATAAATAAATAAAATAAAATAAAATAAAATAAAATAAAATCAGAAACCTCCGGTACAGGTGATTTTATTTTAATTTGCTATGAAACATTCCTCCGATGTCTCTTCTGATCCTGTACCTCATACCCGCCCTGGCAATTAGATGCATGCCCCTATCGTGTTACCAGGTAAGATGAGTACAAGAACATGAGGGATTGGTGCCCTAGAAAACCGTCAGGGAACGAATGGCTTGTATGTATGGGGGAACAGAGAGTTTAGTGCAGGGACTATCTACAGAGGTGTGGCCAGGAATAAGGGAACAACATGGAAAGGTGGAGCACGCCCCGGCAGTTCACAGTGGGAGCCATTACTACTGCTATTCCTGCAGGGACAGAGGGAGGGCGTATGTAAGAACCTGGAGAGATCTGTGGCTTGCATCCTCAGTGAGCTCATGAGAGAGAGAACCACGGTAAAGGGATGCATGGCCCAATCTCTCTCTTTCCATCCTCGTCTTCCTGCTCTGCCATCCCATTAGCCAACCTTAACTAGACACCTGAGGGCAAGGAAGCCTCACTGACACAGCACACCAAGGTCAGCTTCCTGGGGCCCAGGGCAGTGCCCTAGGATGAAGAATGGATCTGGAGGGGGGAGGGGGGAAATGGAAATGACCAGCACAATCCAGCCCTGCTCTACTGGGCTTTATTCTACTCAAATAAAACTCACGTACCCCTTCTGCCTCCTCAGAACCAGACACAGGCTGACCAGTCCACAAGAAAGGGGTCTGGGGTATCTCATTAAAACTGAAGGAATCCACACCTACAAGTGACCAGCCCCCAGAAGAAGAAGGTGGGAAGGAGAAACAGTATCTTAAAGTCCCTTGAGAGACAACAAGGTCTTTGGGATTTTTTTTTTTTAACCAAAAAAAGGCAAGCAGAAGATCCACCTCCATCAAGAAGTACTACTGCCAAATCAACCACCCCTGAAACTCGTCCATACACCTGTTCACTCAACAAACATTTACAAAGAACCACTGTGCTGCAACTAGGCACCCAGGAGGTGTGTCAGATAAAGACAATCCTGGCCTTTGGGCGATTTACAATCTAAAGAGACAGACATTAAACACCGCATACAAAATAAATAAGCAATGACAAACTGTCGTAGGAGCAATGGAGGAAAACAACAGGGTGAAATGTAAAGAGAGAATACAGTGGGGGTTTGCTTTAGATCAGGGGGTCAGGGAAGGCCTAGGCAATGAAGTCATGTTGAGGCTGAGTGTCAGGAAAATAGTCCACTGTCTGCTTTAATGAGTGCAGAGCGTGCAACTCCAGAGCCTGCTCTGATGACATTACTTTTTCTTAAGTCAAAAAGACTTCCAAACATCTAATATAAAACAATTAAAGTGTGTTGCCTCATGTCCTGACTTCAGTCAAAAGAGAACAGCTGGTCACCATCATTTAAACCTATACACACACACACACACACACACACACACGTATACATATATATGTACATGCATATATATATGTATACATATATGTATGTATGCTCACACCTTAGTATCCCCCTTAGCCTCTCCACACTAAATAAATCTTATTTCCTGAATTGTGCAGCATCTTAGAGCTGAAAAAAGCCTTACAGATCATCTGCTTTAATCATGTCATTTATAAATGAGTGACCCAAGGCTCAGAGAAGTTCAGTAACTTCACAGAAAGCCACACAGCAGAACAAAAACATAGCCAAACAATCTTTCCTAGATGCCATTAAGATCATGTGAGAGCCCCTTATTAGTAGTTTGCAGGCCCAGGCTGAGCCCCAATGGGCGCTGATACGCTTATGTACATGCAGAGTGCTCGGCACACGGTAAACGTTCAACATGTGGTGGCTGTTCTTATTGCTTAACCCCCACCGCCACCCAAGAGGTGCGCACAGTTACTAACCCATTTCACAGCTGAGGACACTGCAGCCTAGGGAGGTATAGAACTTGTTTAATATCACACAGCACCCAGCCTTGACCCGTCTGCCTCCAGAACCCATTCACATACTCTAGCTTGTACAGATGTCACTTTATCTCTCTTTGGTTCTTCCTCAAAAAGTTCTTTTCCAAACCTTTGGGCATTTCCACTACATCCCCAAACTCTCTTCATAGTTTTCATATTTCAAGATGAAAGATAGATCTTTGCTGAGGCTGAGAGCAGGTCTGTGTCACAGTTCGGGCTCTGTTCTATGTGAACATCCCCATGTGGTGTTCACCCCTTCTGCAACACTACTGACCCCACACAGAGCTTTCCATCCACTTCCTCCTCCTCCTCCTTCCTCTCCTGCTAAATACTCCTCCATCCTATTTTCCCATATTCAGCCTACTCTCTTGGTCCTCTGCTCACTTACCACATGCACACAGTAGAAGAACTAAGAGAGAAAAAAAGAATGAAATTGGGAACAGTGATATGGGCTACATGCAAAGAGCCAGAAGGGACTTCAGTAGCATATAGAGTCCAATCCCTCAAGGAGGAAAGTGTAGCACAGAAAGGTAAGGAGCCCTTCCCAGGGTCACAGGGAAACTCCATGGCATTATCCTTGCCTAATTGCCAAAATATTTGATCAGCTCATAGAATTTCTGCTTTCAGACAGCCCTGGAGTCAAGCTATAGCCCTGCCATGTATTAAAGGACCATGGGCTAGTTACTTAGACCTCTGAGTCTCTGTTTCCTTACATGATAAGTGAGGGTGATCACAATATTTCATTGTATTGATGTGAAGATTAAACAAGGTAATACACCACATAAAGAAACTCTCAGAGATCCACAAAAAAAACCAGCATGGAAGCATGGAAACAGAGTGGAAAATGAAGCTTATCAATTTTTTGTTTGGGTTTTGGTTTTCCCATTCAAAACTTACAATCAGAAATTTGATTGTATATGTGAAGAGGCTGGGATCTTTGGTCCATATTCCCCATAAATGCTACAATTTATTACTGTTGAAGTTAAAATAATCCTAATTTTAATGGTACAGCAGCATGGTCCAATAGAAATACAATGCCAGCCACTTATATAATTTTAAGCTTTCCAGGAGCCACATTTTAAAAACAAAGAACAACAGGTGCAATTAATTTTAAAGTTTTCTAATACACTATATCCAAAACATTCTCATTTCAACATGTAATAAATACTAAAAAAATTAATTCAATATTTTGCATTCTTTGATGTGCATTGAGTCTTCAAAATCTGGTATTTATTTTATACTCACAGCACATCTCAATTCAGATTAGCCACATTTCAAGTGTTCCGTAGCCACATGTGGCTAGTGGCTACCGTATTAGTGCAGGTTTATACCATTAAAAGTAACATGTACTATGATTTTGTTTCCCAAAAAGTGGAAGGACATTAATTATGGTTTTTTTTTAAATATTTTATTTATTTATTCATGAAAGACACACACAGAGAGAGAGAGGCAGAGACACAGGTAGAGGGAGAAGCAGGCTCCCTGCGGGGATCCTGATGTGGGATTGGATCCCCAGACCTGGGATCACACCCTGAGTTGAAGGCAGACGCTCAATTGCTGAGCTACCCAGGCGTCCCCAAATATGGTTCTTAATGTGCCTTCTTCATACCCAGCTGAGCACCATCCCAGGACAGTGTTCTAGCTGACCACTGGCAAGCCCTGGTTTCAAAGCACTCTGGGTAAGGCTTGCAAGGTCAGAATGACAGGCTAACCAGTGCCCTCCCAACAAACCAGGAGAGGGTACATTCCCTGGCCCCTGACCACAGGAGGTCCCAGAGTGAAGGGAAAAACAAGGTAACAGGTCCAAGCTCTTGCACAACGTACGTCCCAGACATGCTATCGAGCCCTCAGGGATGTCATTGATTGTTTTATTCTAATACATTCCATCTAGAGATGGAATTTAGTAATCCTTTATAGGTGTACTCATTTTGACCCTCATACAAATTTGGGGACCACATAACCTGACAACAGCCATCAAACATTTAACATTAAAAGAAAATGATCCAAAACCCACACATAATTCATCTTTAAATTAGCCTGATTTTACACACAAGGATATAAACCCACGGATCGTTACTCTCTCCAGAGCGGCAGCAGCTGTCACCCAAGCCAGCC